CCAGAAAATATTGCCCGAGAAATGTGGCTGCCAGTTTAGCGTGCTGCTTGACGTTCATAGCGTTACATGCCTGCAAAATCCATGTGAACAAGCATATTGTACATCGTTGCAACATCGCAAAGCAAGCATAATGATCATGCATCCAGCTGACGTCGTTACTGCAATATTGACATCCGTTGTGTGCAATGCCATACATAGTCCCTGTTCACACATGTTGCTAACAAGAATCATGGAAGATGCGTTCTAAGCAAATGGTGTTACCAGACCGATTTGTTTATATGATTCTGTTTCAGGATAGTTTTCTAGATTAAGGACTCAACAAAGGTAAGCTATCTTAAGTATGTGCAATGTAATTAATCCTTATACATAGCCTTGACTGCTTGCTTGATGACCTTTAAAGCGATACATGATGCAGTGTCTGCCACAATGGAGAGTCAATTACAAGCAAGGCCTTTGTCAGTTGAAATCATGCATAGAAGCTTCCCAGCACATGGTGGTTCTTGCTTTCAATGCTGTCAATCCTTTACTGAATGAAGAACAAATGCCGTGAGTGCTGTTGCTGCAAATGTCCTCTGGTGCAAAATCTTTAAAAACCGTGTACCGGATCATTCCAAATGACATGCATACTGTGGTGAATCACTGCATTCTAGTTACAGTGACAGGAAGTCCCTTTTGGATGCAATACTTTGGATGTTGGAGTGACTGTGTTGCTTTCAGATGCTTTTAAATGTCATGTTCTGCCAAATAGACTGGTGCTGCGTTAAGATGCAAAACTCAGAATGGTGGAACATCAAGTTTCTTTTTGGATGCAGAGTCCTTCAAGATTTGTGAAGAGTCGTGAAGATAGTCATAAGCAGGCAGTTAAGGCTTTGTATATGCCGGATATATGTGTGCACTTTAAACCAGCTTTGGTTTTGTAAGCCTTGTTGTATTGATAAGTTTTGCATAGCCCACTAGACAGTAGATGCTTGGTGCTGTTTCCACGGAAGTCAGGTTATCTCAGCCAGTGCATTCGCAGGTTACTATTGCAGCTGGTGAACGTTGCATAGCCGGAAAAGTTTTGCGATGTCATTCCCAAGTTACTGTCAAACAGCCATTGAACCAATGGCTTCATCTCATGTTGATTGATGCGACACTGTCCTTCATTTCATTACTGTGGACATGAAGCCAAATGCGATGTGAAAATGCAGGAACAACGGTTTCAGTCCGCGAAGACCAGCTGTGACTTGTCGTTGGTACCTTCTGATGCATTGCTTTTCTCTTGCTGACAGGACATTGCAGTGGATGACATCGCTTTTGCTGCAAAGCCTCGTTTTGCAAGCCCACCTGGTGTTTGTTGCAAGAAGATATAATGAAGTATCATATTCTGTCCGTCCTTCCAGAGTGGTTGTCAACAACCAGACAACAATACTGTCTAGTGGGCTCTGTTTCAAGTGTTTCGATCGTTATCATTTGCTTGCTTCTCTCTGCCCTATGCTTGTTTATCTTAATTTTTCATTTCTACTAATTTTGGCTTGTAAGGTATTCAAAAGGAACTATCGCACCGGTCTTTGAGGCAGTGGGAAGCCATATGGGGATTCTTGGAAAGCCAGTAAATTATATAGAGAATTGAAAACTTGTGTCCGACATCTGTGTTCTATTTCGTCTTCGTGTTCTGCCTTGATGCTTATATATGGCAATCAAGATGGAACTGTGTGAAAGAGGTTCTGCTCACTTTCTAGCAGACAGTTTAAAGAGATTCTTTGTATTTCTCTTTTTGCCGATGTTTCCCCGCCTAAACGTTTCCACTGCCAAGACTTGTGCGATTAGAATTGCTATATCAGACTGCATTGTCAGTTTTGCAGAACTGTAAAATATTATTAATCAAATTTCAGGAGCTAAAACAGATGTTTAACAAAACTTCAGATATTGTTTTTGCTGACGCACACAAAAAGCGTACAGGAGAAGGGTCAGTATTGTCTTTTGGACATATTCAATAGTACTTTTTTACACACGTTGGTAAAGATCAAAGCAGTATACTTTCGATGTGACATTTCGTCATCTGACGTTTTGTAATCTGACGGTTGTCCAGCGAAATAGATTTTTGAAAGTGATAGCACTATTCGTGCAAAGCTGGAAAACAGTCAAGTATTAATAAAATTCATACCTAAGGTTGTCTTTATTTGAGCGATTGAATGAATACGAATGCAAACATGGAGGCCATCTTGTCTTGGCAGGGTTGCCAAAAATACTTAATTGAATTAACGTAGAGAAATTGCAAAAACCGCTAAATTTGAGATTTTCTGTTATCTCACTGAAACAAAATCGAGTTTCTCCAAAAATCCAATTAGCTTCTGTTGAAAAAAGCTGTACTTAATCTCAAGTTATCGAGAGAGTGAACCAAAAATGTTCTTGTTACCAGGGGAGGGATGCAATTTTGCACATACATAGCAAATTGTATTAATCATCGACAGATATAAACCAAAAAGGCATCCATGCTTTGACTTTGTTACTTTTGCAGTGTCGTTGAGTTCAGAACTCATAAAGACATGATGAAAGCCTGCAAAACTCATAATGGAATGGAAATCAATGGCAAGGCTATCAAGCTAGAAATTGTAAGTCGTAGACCTATTCTTGTAATTCTGATTTCAATTCTGTGTTATCTTTCATAAATGCGAGATCTATAGTAAACTGTGTAAAAGGTTTACTCTAAACTTGTAAAGATAAGCTTGATATCATGTTTCCTGCACATGCTCTTGTTTATGACACATCATTCGCCTCCATTTTGTACAACTCGACCTGTATTAAAGGCAATAGACAGATACTAAACTGGTTCAAGTCATCTGTCAATCAAATTGACCAACCAATAAGCGTAATGTCACACAAAAACCTATTGATTGGCCAATAGTTGATGGACAGATAGCTTAAGACATTTAAGTATCTGTTGATTGCCTTTAAAATCTTTGTAATAGTAATAATAAATAGGTCATGTATTCATTTAGTGATGTTTTGATGTTTAAGACTTCGACTTTGTTTTAGGAGGAACATAGAAGACGCGGTTCCCGCTCACGTTCGCGCTCAAATTCAAAAGACAGATCTCGGGGAAGAAAAAGGTCGAGATCAAGCGAGGGGAAAGCAACAAAGTAAATCTTGTGTTTTCTGTTTAACGGTTTTCTTGGGTAATATTTATTGTATATAGTGTTGATAATTATGATGGGAAACATTAATAATGCTTCCACTGAGAAGACTAGCGGCCTGGGAATGTGAAGACCGAGAATTGTATTGGGCAGTCTCGATTACAAAAAGAAAAACCCTACATTTGTATAAGAGACTGACATTGTTTTAAACAGGATTAGTTCTTCGGTAACCAATTTCCTAGCAAATATGCTTTCTTACTTGGAAAGTTTTAAAACTGTGTACCTTGACACTGCTAGGTAGATTCCATTCAATCTGCAACAGTGCAAGTCCTGTGAACAGTGATTTAATTAGAAGGCGGCAACTAAGGAATGTCCGCAGGTTCCGCTTATTCACCAAACCGTTGCTGCCTGCTTTTACCCGCACTTTAGTAAGATGGCACAAGCTTTAGAGAACTTATAGACACATACTTTTAAATGTGAGCCTTCAACTTCAAAAATTAATGAAAACTCTGTTTGAAATTCACTGGTAACTCTTTCATTATAAGACTCTTTTAGGCTGGCTTTATTGATAATGTTAATTTGAAACCATTATCAGTTTTTGTATCATTGCTATGATTTTCGGTCTCTTTTCCTTAAAATAGTTTTTGCTTTATCTTTTTTTACAGAAAAAGGCGAACGAAAAAGAAGCAAGAAGCCTCTGAAGAATCCAGTTCTTATTCTTCCTCATCCGAGAGTGATTCAGATTCAGAATCAAGATCGCCGTCTCCAAAGAAGAAGTCAAAGAAAAAGAAGAAGAAGAAGGAGACAAAAAAAACCAAAAAGCGCACGAAGAAGAAGGATTCAGATTCGAGCTACTCCAGCTCTTCTTCTGCTTCAGAGTCGGATTCTGATTCACCAGCTAGGAAGAAATCAACTAAGAAAACAAAGAGCAAGAAAAAGAATAGATCTCAAAAGTCTAGGTCAAGCTCGGATTCAGATAATGAAGGCATGCTTTTTGTAGTTTCCATTTAGTTTTCAATTTTCAATCTGCCATCCCTTTGTTATGATGCTTGTGATCATTTCTTGAAAGTAGCTGTCTCATACAGTGGCCCACATGTGCCACGGCAAAACTTACTTTCTCACGGCAAAACTTACTTTCTCACGGCAAAACTTACTTTCTCACGGCAAAACTTACTTTTTCACGGCAAAACTTTCTTTTTCACGGCAAAACTTTATTTCTCACGGCAAAACTTTACTTCTCACGGCAAAACTTTACTTCTCACGGCAAAACTTTCTTTGAATTTAATTTATTACTTAAATTTAATTTATTTTGAAAATTTCATCTCGTGACATTGGATTTTCGTCGTCGTATTGCTTTGTTCCTTTTGCTTTTCTAACATAGGCGTAGAAGACAAGGGTCTGGGGAGATAAGGGGGCTGCAACGGCAACTGTAGTTTCTCAACATTGAAAAGTTTCCAAAAAAGCGATAATCAGCAGAAATCTACCATGATTCAGTCAGGCAAAATTTTCATAAACAATGGATGTTGTTTGTTGGGCAACCACTTCGATTTTTTTCTCCCCTTATATTATGCCCATGCTTATTATTTCATTTTTTTATTCATTGTTATTACTATTATTCGAAAAATTAAGTACCTAGCTATCAACCCACCCTGTGAGTAATACGATATGATATGATATTAAACACAATACCCAATTTATAGATTTTTTACAAGCCACAATCGAGCGTGCCAAGTGCACGTACGAGATTTTTTTGGACGAATTTTATGTGCACGCCAATTTTCAACGAATTGATCTTTTTCACTGCTTTCAAAACAAAGGAATCAAAGACCTTGCATGCGGCACTGTTTCGTTGAGATAGGCATATAGGCCTAGCCTAGCCCAACCTAGATAAATTTTAGACCATTTCTGGGCTGTCTTTCTGCAAGAATTATCAAGAGAAGATGTAGGTATTCGCAAATCTGCGAAGTTTAAAACGTCTAAAGCATTGATTAGATCTAAGTTTCACGTACACAACATCACGTAAAGAAAATTTTGCCGTGAGAAAGAAAGTTTTGCCGTGAGAAATAAAGTTTTGCCGTGAGAAATAAAGTTTTGCCGTGAGAAAGTAAGTTTTGCCGTGAGAAAGTAAGTTTTGCCGTGAGAAAGTAAGTTTTGCCGCGAGAAAGTAAGTTTTGTCGTGAGAAAGTAAGTTTTGCCGTGAGAAAGTAAGTTTTGCCGTGAGAAAATAAGTTTTGCCGTGGCACCTGTGGGCCACCGTAGTCCCAGGTATAATATTTACTTACATATATACCATTCTACTGAAATGCTGCTTTTAGTCCTCTATGACAATGAAATGTTGCTGAAGTCATTTGAGCTTTTATAAGATTGATTGCCGAATTGATTTTCACAGTTTGAAAGGTTGCAAAGAGAATTTGAACGAGAAAAATTTGTTTTGCATTTAAATTTTGCACTAAATTGCGTTTTTGATGCATTTTTGTTGAATGTTTATTTGTACGTTCTTTGCTGTTAATAGTCATAGGTGGTATCTTGTAAAATCTCTTAAATGTTGTAATCTCATGGTCTGGTTGTCTTAATGTGTTTTGTTTGTTTCAGGTTCAGTCCAAAGAGATAAGTCAGCCTCGTCTGGACGGGAGGCATCAGCCTCTCCTGCCAGAGAAGGATCGCAGTCTCCTTCCAAAGAGCGCGCTCCATCATCTGAACGAGGGGGTTCTGCGTCACCGGATCGCATATCTAAAGAATCAGACCGTGAAGCAACACCAGTCTCTGGGAAGGAGCAATCTCCTGACAGAGACGGATCCCCTTCACCTCAAGCGTCTCCACAAAATAATGAAAAGATAGAGAATGAAGGTATCATTGCGAGTCATTTTGATGTTTGTGAGCTAAAAGGTAGAAAAGGCTCGCCATTTCTCTGACCAACAAATAAAAGTTGATAACAAGGCATGGTTTAAGTTATATTCACAAATTTATATTGTTTTCAAAAAGGTTTTGCAACAGAACGGTCGCGAGGTAACTCACTTGCGAATCTTCTCACCTCTGCCTAAATGCCACGTTTTTGCAATGTAACGGTTGCATTTTTTTGTACTTCACACCCAGTATTTACCAGCTCACCTTACTGCTAATGAGTAAGATTAAATTTTTACTTTCTTTGTTTACCTGTTCGGCATTCGCAGCTGTTAATCTCTGTTCATTTTATTAAAAGTTCATGTTCCGTAAAAACTTGACCATGAAGGCTGCTCAAACTATACATATAACAAGCAGGTTTATTTCCTAACTTCGTTTGCTTTTGTCGTAGCTTTTTTTGGTTTTCTTGAAAAACTGGTTGCTCATTTGATTTTTTGTTCTGTTACCTTGCTGTACAGATAAATCACCTTCAGATGAAGCCATGGAAGAGAACGAGGAAAAGGAAGGTTCAGGAGAAGAAAACACAGCGAACGTTGAGGAAGAAGAAGATCTTCCCAAAGGCCGCAAAAGCAGGCGCACAGAGTCAAAGTCACCTGAAAGGGATGCAAGAAAGAAGTCAAAAGATAGAAAGGGAGAATCAAGGGAGAGTGGGAGTTCAAGAAAGACAAGAGGAAAGAATATAGATGGAGACGACTCGAGAAGTAAAGAAAAAGCTGAAAGCAAGCGTGAAAATAAAGAAAGAAAAGGCGAAGATGTAGTAAAGTCCGAAGATAGAAGTAAAGAAGAAAAAAAGAAGGATAAAGACCACAGGAGAAGTGGAGGGCCTGTGAAGCTTAAAAGAGCAAAGGATAGTCATCGTAAGTCACCAGAGAGGAAGGAAGAAACTTCAAATCAGGAAGAAAGTAAAGATGAGGTGAAAATTCCGGATGAAGAAGTAGATGAGAAAGTTGAAACAGAGAAAGGTGGCAAGGCAACGCATAAGGAAAAGAAAAGTGCAGAAAAATCAAAGGGAAAAGGGAAAGATTCAGATAGGTCAAGGAGAAGCAGTGATAAGAGAAAGAAAACAGAAGAAGATGCCGAGGAAAGTAAAGAAGATGATTCAAGAAAAGAAGATGGACAGGTTGAACAACAGGAAAAAGAAGAATTGAACAAGGAAGAAGTTGATAGGGGCGAGAAAAGTAGAAAGTCAAGGCATGATAGGCATCATCGAA